AGAGAGAGAGAGAGAGAGAGAGAGAGAGAGAGATACATCAATGATGAGAGAGAATTATTGATTGGCTGCCTCCTGCACACTCCCCACTGGGGATCAAACCCAAAACCTGGATATGTGCCCTGACCAGGAATTGAACTGTGATCTGGATCGTAGGTTGATGCTTAACCACTGAGCAACATCAGCTGGGCCAGAGTATAAATATTTTTGACTTGGCAAGTCATACAGTCTCCATAGAACTATTTAACTCTAGACAATAGATAAACAGATGGGTGTGGCTGTGTCCCAGTGAAACTTTATTTATATGGACACTGCAGTGTGAACGTCATATGAAATTTTCATTACCCTCTTGTTTTTTACCGCCAACTGTTTAAAAAATATAAAGACCATTACAAGTTCACAGGCGGTATAAAAGCAGGCAGCTCAGCCTGCCACTGTGATCTGCACAAGAATGGGAGTTTTACAGGGATTTTTAAAAATATATATTTTATTGATTTTTTACAGAGAGGAAAGGAGAGGGACAGAGAGCTAGAAACATCGATGAGAGAGAATCATCGATCAGCTGCCTCCTGCACAACCCCCACTGGGGATGTGCCCGCAACCAAGGTACATGCCCTTGACCGGGATCGAACCCGGGACCTTCCAGTCTGCAGGCCAACGCCCTATCCACTGAGCCACACCGGCTTCGGCCACAGGGATTTTTCGATGCCTGGTTGGTTAGTGTGGCCACAGGGCCCAGGACAGTGCCTGCCACAGGCGGTTCTCCGTGAAGCTGTATGGAATGAATGAATCCACGCACACAAGGGTCTTGGGCGGGTCTTTAGGGCTGGGCGTTGGAAGGAGGGGATTAGCATTCAAGGAGCGAAGGCGGGGTGTGGGGGTGAGCCCAGAGAAGCCACCGGTGCCCGGGGGACGGCTGGGCAGCAGGCCGGCGGGGGGCAGGCCTCGAGGGGTCCGGCCTGGACGGGAGGCAGGGAGGGGTGGGTGCTCCGGGAGGGGTTCCCTGGGGCTCAGACCCTGCCCCTCTCCCCCAACCGCAGGCCTTATTTTTAACCCTGCTGACGGGGAGAGGAAAGATAATCCCGGTGAAACCAAGAAGAGTGGCTGATCCCTGCCCCTCCCTCTGCCCCAGTTACGCTCCGTCCCTGCGCCCCGCGGTGTCAGAGACGCCCTCCCGGACTCGCGCGGTCCCAGCAGCAGAAGTGGTTCCTGCCAAAGCCGGTGCGGCTCACTGGATAGAGCGTCGGCCTGGGGACCGAAGGGTCCGGGGTTCGATTCCTTTCAGGGGCAGGTGCCTTGGTTGCGCGCACGTTCCTGGTAGGGGGTGTGCAGGAGGCAGCTCATGGATGATTCTCTCCCATCAATGTTTCTAACTCTCTCTTCCTCTCTGTAAGAAATCAATAAAATATATTTTTTTTTTAAAAAGAGAAAAAAAAATGGTTCCTGCATTTGTCCAGCAGGACGGGGAGAGGTCCTGGCACTTAAAGAAACATCCCCCCCCCCCCCCCCAGCCCCTAGGGGTGAGCAGCTGGAACTGCGGAAAGGAGAGGGACTTCGCTCCGTCTGCCCCGCAGGTGCCTCTCAGACGTTCGTGAGCAGCGGGAGCGCCTGCGGGGCTTCGCACACACAGCCTCCCGCACATTCCGAGCCAGTCGGTCTGGGGTGGAGCTCGAGAATCTGCATTCCCAACCAGCTCCAGGAGGCTGGGGGCGGGGGCGTGCACCACACTGCAAGGCACTGAACTAGAAGCAGGGTCCTGGGGTGACAGCCTGTCTCCACTGTGCGCTGCCAGTCACACTCCATCAAGACTGTCTCTGGCCCAGGGTGCGAGAGCCCGAAGGCCGGCTAAGCCATCAGGGCTTTCCGCTGAGCACCACGGGAAGCCTTGCACACATTTGAAGCAGCAGGTGACTGGTTTAAGCCAGCTCACCACGCCCACCAGGGCCTCTGCGTGCAGTCAGTGGGAGGGAGCGAGCCCGGAGCAGGGATGCGGGCTGGGGGAGGGGGCAGATAATGGGGGGAAAAGGGGGGGAGAAGTACTTTGCAGAAGAAGTGACAGAGGAATGGAGAGACAGGCAAATTCAAGAGCCGTAGAGACAAGAGGTGGTGACGGGTGGCCGTGGGTGTTGGGAGGAGGGCAGGAGGGAGGGTGCAGGAGGATGCTGGGCCTCTGGCTCGGAGGCTGGGCCCTGGGGAGCCACATCAGAGATCTCGGGCAGTGACGAGGGGGCTGATGGAGGAATCGCCGGCCAGACTGCGGGACATGGCAGAGTGTGCAGTGTGGCTGCCCGCTCTGGCTCCGTGCAGGGTCCACAGATGACCCCCCCCCCCCCGGCCCACCTGGGAGTCCTCCAGGGCACAGTGTGAAGGCTGCCAGGGGCCCAAGGAGCCTGCAGCAGAGCCCCAGAGCCCCAGAGCCCCAGAGCCGGCTCACCCAGCTCACTTTACCAAAAAAGGGCATTTTCTCAGTTGGAAGGTTTGCCCAGCATTCCCTGCTCCCCCCACCTGGGGTTTCAGGTTCCCAGGGACTTACATGTCTCCGAAAAGTTTAGAACTTTGAATCACACATACCCACGGCTGGCACGTGCATGTAGCACAGCCTGGGATGTGCATGTAGCACAGTGAGTTTTGGTGTCACAAATGTCTCCTTCTCCTCCTCCTCCCCTGTTCCTCCTCCTCCTCCCCTGTACCCTCCTCCTCCTCCTCCCCTGTTCCGTCCTCCTCCTCCTCCCCTTTACCCTCCTCCTCCTCCTCCCCTGTACCCTCCTCCTCCTCCTCCCCTGTACCGTCCTCCTCCTCCTCCTCCCCTGTACCCTCCTCCTCCTCCTCCTCCCCTGTACCCTCCTCCTCCTCCTCCTCCCCTGTACCGTCCTCCTCCTGCACCACCACAACCACCACTGACAACACCATCATCGCCATCATCACCCTCCCTCAGCCCGTCCTGGGCTCTCACACTCCCATCCGCTGCCTCTCGGTTGCCCAGCACCTCCAGGAGGAGAACTATTGCCCTACAGCTAAAGACTGAGACCAGAGAGGCACAGAAGCCACACACCCAGGATCCTCGAGTCCCAGGGGTGCTGGGACAGAGTGAGGAGAGCGAGGGGGCGCCTGCAGGTGCTGGGTCTGGCCCGGACTTTATTTAAATTGTCCACAGCGGGGGGCGCCTGCAGGTGCTGGGTCTGGCCCGGACTTTATTTAAGTTGTCCACAGCGGGGGGCGCCTGCAGGTGCTGGGTCTGGCCCGGTCTTTATTTAAGTTGTCCACAGCGTAGTCATCCAGGACTTTTCTTTGCATGGATTTTGACTTTTAAAAATATCTCATTAAAATATTATGTATCTCGATTACCATTTTTTTTTTTCTTTTTTTTTTGCATCCCCCTACATTTAGAGCCGGGTGGATGGCTTTTGGCGTCAGCCTGGCCCCGGCCTTGGCAGAGCCAAACCTGGCGTCCAGGGCTGCTTGCCTGTTCCCATGCTGCCCCCTTGCCTGTGCCTATGTGCACGGCGCATGCATTTGTGTACGCTTTCCCTCGGTAAAACGTGCTCTCCTTCAGTAAGCATCGTCCTGGGGGGCGGGGAGGCCAGCGGCTTGGGGGTCAGGTAGCTCTGGGCTTGAACTCCACTACTTACTGGTTTTTTGTTATATATATATATATATATATATATATATATATATATATATATATATATATAGCAAAGGTGGTGATTTACTGAAGAACAAGTACAGACTCCACGTAGGGAGGGGGAGAGGGAGAAAAAAAAATTTTTTTTATTGAGTTAGATAGAGGAAGGGAGAGGGGGTGAGAGAGAAACATCAGTGTGAGAGCAAAACCTTGACCGGCTGCCGGCTGCCTCTTGCAGGCCCCGTGCCAGGGACTGAGCTGGAAACTGAGCATGCGCCCTGACCGGGAACCAAGCCTTCGTACATGGGATGATGATGCTCAACCAACCGAGCCACGCGGCCGGGCCCCACTCCGCACAGCCCGTGGTTCAGGACACAGACTAGCTCCGGGCGCGCCTGGCTCAGACCCTCCCTCTGCCCCCTCTGGCCTGGAGGTGTGGGCCAGAGCCGGAAAGCATGGCTGTGCTGATTTCTCCTCTGTAACGGGGGGTGATGGCGATAACGCCGGCCACAGGCCGCTGTTGGGGAACTAAATGAGTGGATTTCTGGGAAGCCCTTGGCATACAGTAAACACTGTGTGTGTTCACTGTCATTTTGCATCCTGGGGCAGGATACCCGTCCGAGACTCGGTTTCCCCACCTGCGAAGCAGGGACAGTCAAGACTACCTCCCGGGCGGTTTTGAGGATCGAAAGGGACACCATAAAGGGCTTGGCACGTGGTAGGAGCTTAGTAAAACTTACCTCCCTCATCGGGGGCCCCATTCTGTGCTGGAGGCTGCGATTCAGAGACACAGGTGCCTCCCCTGGCGGAGGAATCAACTCGCCTGCACACGCGAGCGCAGATTTGACCGTTCAGCTCCCCAGAGCTCTTACCCCCTCTGAGGCCTCTGCACAGCTCTTCCCCCTCCCTGGCTCGCTGTCCCCGCCGCCCTTCTTGGGGGTCCATAGGCGTGACCGGATACCATAGGGGTCTGGACACAAAAAAAGATCAAGAGCCCTGCTCTGGGGCCTGGGCCTCCTTTGCATTTCACCAGCAACAGGAGGAAAAAGATGAAGCAGGGAATCACGGGAGATGTTTTTATGGGCCAGGACAGGAAAGCACATACATCACTCCTTCCCACAATGCACTGGCTAAGACTCAGTCACGTGACCATGCCTAGCTGCAAGGGAGGCTGGGAAATGTCTACCTGTACGCCCGGAAAGCAGAGGGAGTGGCCTGGGGAACGCACAGGATTGGGCCACAGGGCTCCATCAGTATTCCTCACGGCCTGGGTGGATGGATGAATGGATGCTCTGTCCACGGTGTCTGTGTGAGTCGGGGAGAACGGACAGAGGGCTGGTTCTCGGGGAGGATGCTGAGTTTCCGCCGTGTTGTCTCCTAGGACCAGCCACGCCAAGGCCAAAGCTGAGGCCGCAGAGCAGGCCGCCCTGGCCGCCAACCAGGAGTGCAGCGTTGCCCGCAGCCTGGCCAGGGAGCTGGCTCCGGACTTCTACCAGCCAGGTAGGCCGGCCGAGGCGGGGACCGTCAGGCCCGGGCGCGGGGAGGTCCCCACGGGCGGACACGTTCCTCTTGCTTCGCTGGAAAGCCGAGGCGCCCAAGTTGTGTCCGCGATAGGCTGTGAGTCCTGGAAGCCGTGGGGTGTGACAGGCAGGGGTGGCTGACACAGGCTCGTGCTGAGACTGTGGTGGGGATCAGAGGCCCCAGCTGCCGGCTGGCCCCGCTCCAGGCTGGCTCTTCTCCCTGAAGAGGAAGGAGGACCTTCTGGCTCTGACACGGACCTTGTACTGAGAGTGACGGGACGGGAGCCCCCTAACCACCCCCCCCCCCCCCATGGGGTATTGTTGTTCTCTGCATGAAGGGTTTTAAGGTGAGCGGCCTGATCAGATTTGTTTTCTCAGCATTACCCTGGCTGCAGCAAGGAGACCAAGGGTAAACTGAGATAAAAGAGCCCGGAACAGGGACACTGTGCCTGCGAGGCTAAGCTGCTTCTGGTCCCAGCGCTCCCCCTGCTGGTCCCAGGGGGAGCGACACTGGCTGGTGGTGAGGCCAGCGCTGTCCCCGTGGGACAGGCCCTGCATCTAATTAATCCTTTTCCTAGTAATTATGAAATAGGCCTGATTAGGCCAATATTTCAGAGAAGGGGGTGGAAAGAGACCAGTGTGGCCGCAAGAGCACGGAGTCTGGAGCCAGACTCCCGGATGCTCGTCCTGGCTCTGCCCTTCGGCATCTGGTGCCCTTGGGCAAGTGGTGTCACTCCTCCAAGCCCCCCTTTCATAGAGAAGAAGAGAGAGAGATAGAGAGTTAGAAACATCGACGAGAGAGAGACGTTGATCAACTGCCTCCTGCACACCTCCCCACCGGGGATGTGCCCGCAACCAAGGCACATGCCCTTGACCGGAATCAAACCTGGGACCCTTCAGTCTGCAGGCCGATGCTCTATCCACTGAGCCACACCGGTTTCGGCGAAGCCCCCCTTTCTTCCTCTGTAAAACAGAGGCGAATACATAACATGGACCTACAGAGTCACTGAACCCAGCAGGGGGGTTAGTGTTTGGAAATACTGGGCACACGGTAGGTGGGTGGTGGGTAGGCGCTGGCCGGGAGGTGGAGCAGCTCGCCCTGGGCGCCGGGGGAGGGGCCGGGACTCGAACCCGTGGCCGTGTCGCCCCGCAGGCCCGGAGTACCAGAAGCGCCGGCTGCTGCAGGAGATCCTGGAGAACTCGGAGAGCCTGCTGGAGCCGCCGCCGGGCCGGGGCCCCCCGGGGCGGCCCCCCGAGGGCGGCGCCCCGTCCCCGGCCGGGACGCCCCCGCCGCCCAAGCGGCCCCGCCCGGGGGCGGCGGCGGCGGCGGCGGCGGCCACGGACGGCCCGGGCCCCGGCGCCTGGAACGGCGAGCGGGACGCGGGGGGCAGCCGGCCCGCCACGCCCGGCCGCCCGCGCCCCGCGCGCCCCGAGCTCATGGCCATCGAGGCGCTGCAGGCGCCGCCCGCGCGGGGGCCCGAGCCCGAGGCGGCGCTGTACCGCGGCTACCACAGCTACGCCGTGCGCACCGGGCCCGGGCCGCCCCCCGAGGAGCCCGAGCCCGGGTCCGAGGCCTCGGGGTCCGACTCCGGGCCGCCCTCCCCGGCCGCCGCGCCCGCCGCGCCCGCCGCGCAGGAGCCCGCGCCCGCGCCCGCGCCCCCCGCCAGGCTGGAGCCCAAGCCCATCGTGCCCAAGGGCGAGCCCAAGGCCAAGGCGCGCAGGACGGAGGCCCGCGGGCTGAGCAAGGCCGGGGGCAGGAGGAAGGCCCGGCGGGAGGCGGCCGGGCCCGACGCGGAGGTGGAGGAGGTGAGGCCGCCGCCGCTGCTGCTGCTGCCGCCGCCGGAGGGCTGCGGGCCAGGCGCTCCCTGCGGGTGCCCAGCGCGGGCAGGGGCCCCAGGGTGGCGGCTTGCTGTGTGTGTGTGTGTGTGTGTGTGTGTGTGTGTGTGTGTGTGTGTGTTGGGGGGGGACGGGGAGAAAGAGACACAGGATAGCGACAGGGAACCCAGCAGGCGTGGACAGCCTGCTCCCTGTGAGACGTGGGAGCCTGTGACACTGCAAAGGATGGCCTGGCCTCTTATATATATATATAAATAAATATATAAATATAAATATAAATATATATATATATATATATATATATATATATATATGAAGGGAGAGGGATAGAGCTAGAAACATCGATGAGAGAGAGAGACATCGACCAGCTGCCTCCTGCACCCCCCCCACTGGGGATGTGTCCCCAACCAAGGCACATGCCCTTGATCGGAATCGAACCCGGGACCCTTCAGCCCGCAGGCCGACGCTGTATCCACTGAGCCACACCGGTTTCGGATGGCCTGGCCCTTGGGCCCTTATCGGGTCAGCAGGGGGGCAGTTCTTTGGAGCCTGGGGCAGCTGGGAGCCTGAGCAGCTAGCAGGGAGGGAGGGTGCGTCTGCAGAGCCGGGGGGGGGGGGGGGGGATCCTCTTCTACAGGGTGTAGCAGGGAGGGCTTCCTGGGGTGGAGGAGGGGCCCCTGGGGCGTGGGTTCCGGCCCTTCTGGCTTGTCGGAGGACTAAGGTGACCAGACGCCCCGCTTTGGGCGGGACAGTCCTGATTTTTAACAATTTGTCCCACGTCTCCCGGCGTTTTAAAAAGCCGTGAGACAAATGGTTAAAAAGCGGGACGTCTGGTCACCTTACGGAGGAGGCTGGGATCTGGGTGGGAACGGCAGGGGCAGGCTCCGGGGACGGACGGACGGACGGACGGGTGCAGGCTCCGGGGATGGACGGACGGACGGACGGACGGGTGCAGCCCCCAGGGCTCCGGGGGAGGCCACATGCCCGGGCCCCAGGCCCAGCACTGCCCGCCGTGGGCTGGGACACGTCCATGCCCGTCCGGGACCCTGAGTGGTTCGGCTCATTGTTTCTGAGAATTCCTCCGGCTCTGACGGCCTGCCGTCCCGGTGCTGTGGACAGGGCGGGGAGCGGCGGGGTGCTCTCGGGAGGGCCCCTCGGAGGGCGCCCGCTTTCCTGTCCGCCCCGCAGAGACGGGGAGGGCAGGGAGGGGAGGTTCAGAGGCCACGGGGACGCAGGCGGCCTCTCCCCCTGGCTCCCAGGTCCCCAACACCGTCCTCATCTGCATGGTGATCCTGCTGAACATCGGCCTGGCCATCCTGTTCGTCCACCTGCTGACCTGACCCTCGTCCGCCAGGTGAGGCCAGGAGGGGCTGGGGCTCACGGAGCGTGCTGGGCGCCGGGTGTGGGAACTGCTGGGGAACCGCCTGCTGCCTCCTGGGCCTTCTTCCCCCTGTGGTGCACGGAGGCCCACCCCACCGGAGGCAGGGGTCGAGAGTGTGGGTTTGATAGGTCATGCCCTACTCACTCACACACTCACTCACTCACACACTCACATACACACACTCACACACACACACACACACACACTCACATACACACACACATACACACATACACACACTCACACACATACACACACTCACATACACACATATACACACACACACATACATACACACATATACACTCACATATACACACATATACATACACACACTCACACACATACACACACTCACACACACATACACACACATACACACACATACACACACCCTCACACACATACACATGCATACATACACATACATACATACACACACTCACACACAATACATACACACACTCACACATACTCATACACACACTCACACACATACACACTCACACACACATGCATACACACTCACACACACTCACACACACACACTCTCTCACACACACACACTCACACACACACACACACTCTCACACACACACTCTCTCGTACTCATGTGCTCCCCATGTGTGAGCACCTGGTCTGTCAGGTGAGCACGGGGGCTTCTCCCCCGTACCCATCCCTTTGGTCAGCATTCACTGACCACCTGCTTGGCTGGGATCTGGGGTACAGTAGGGACTCCCTCCTGTCCTGAGACGTGGGGTGAGCCCGTGGGAGTACACCCTTCATGTACAGCTCCTCATGGAAAAGCCTCACAGCTGTGCCCCTGGCTCCCCAGGCTCTCACAGGCCTGCAGTGAGCTCAGCTCGGATGGCTGGGCCTCCTCTCTCACCCCCCAGCCCCCAGCCCCCAGCCCCCAGCCTTGCTGACACCCTGCTGTCCGTCCGTTGGTCCCGTCCACTGGTTTTCTCCCAGTGACGGAGCTGGGAGGGCGGTCGGGGCACGGTCCCGTGAGAAGGAGGTGACGTGGGCTGGGCTAAAGGCTAGGTGGTCCTCACGGGTCTCAGGCTGACGTGTCTAAAAGACAGACAGCATCGCTCTCCTGATAGGACCAGTCTTTCCAGGGCAAATCCCGTGCTTGGTGACGCTGACAGGGGGCCTCCTGCTGCCCCCACCAAAGGCCCTTCTCCCAGGTCCTAGCTTAGTGTGGGCTGGGACCCGTCTCAGGCCCCGTCCTGTCGCCAGGTGCACAGCCGATGACAGCAGGAGCAGCAGTGCCGCTGCCCGGGGTAAAGGCTGTGTTCCACAGGGGCTGGGAATGAGCGCTGCAGGGACCCGAAGGAGGGGGCGGGGGAGCCCGCTGGCAGCCGGGAGGAGAGAGGAAGGGCAGCGGGAACCAGCGAAGGGGCCGCACCTGCACATGAGCGGAGGCTGCATCCGGAGGACAGCGAATTGGTCTGACCCCATCGAGTCAGGGCTGTGGGGCAGGTGTCTTGCCCCAGAGAAGATCAAGCCTGAGGCTTGACCCCTGCTTTGAACCTGGCCCAGCCTCCGTGCAGCCTCCCTCCGACTCTCAGCTGACCTCCTCCTTTTTTTTTTTTAAAATGTGTTTAATATATTTTATTGATTTTTTTACAGAGAGGAAGAGAGAGCAATAGAGATTTAGAAACATCGATGAGAGAGAAACATCGATCAGCTGCCTCCTGCACACCCCCCACTGGGGATGTGCCTGCAACCAAGGCACATGCCCTTGACCGGAATCGAACCCGGGACCTTTCAGTCTGCAGGCCGACGCTCTACCCACTGAGCCAAACCGGTTTCGGCCCACCTGACCTTCTCGCTGTCTCTTTGCAGAGCCCGGAGTGCCTGCTGAGGACACAGAGGCCCGCCTCTCTGCAGTGCTGGGCAGGGCGGCCGCGGAGGCCTGGACTCTGGACCCGGAGCCCCGGTCCCAGCTCCCAGCCACGCTGCGGACTTCTAAGGGGGCCTCCCGTGGCGCCCGTGTGGGCGACGGAGGTGCCCGGCGGGATAGAACGTGCTGGAAACCCTCCTGAGCTTCGCCCGGGGGCAGGGACAGCCCTGACGGCTCCTGTCCCTCATCCTCTTCCACCGCCTCACCTGGTCCCTAGGTGCCCCCCTCCCTGGGCTCTGTGTGTGTCGGGAGGACTCACCAAACCGGAGTCCTGATACCAAATCCCCGGGCCCTTCTTGCCGCCCCTCCCCCGCTTTAACTTGTCCCCCGGCTGCTGGGCTGGCAGCCCCCCGGGTGGCCGGCAGCCAGGGAGGCGCTCTCGGCGGCCCGGACCCACCCGGCACCCACCCGTCCCTGCTCACGGGCTCCGGAGGGCAGTAGAGGAAACATGCTCCGTTTGAACAGCCCAGGGCGCAGTGCTCCTGCCTCCTGCCGCCTGTCCAGCTAGCCTCCCTCCGGGCCAGCGGAGGAGGAGGCGGCGGGAGGGACGGGAGCCTTCGGCTAGGCAGCTGCCGGCCCGGGGGCCAGGGCGCGGGGGCGGGAAGAGGGCCCCTGTGCTCCGTGTGTCAGCCCGAGGCTGGCGTTGCACTTAGCGTTTCCGGCGTGCTCTGCGGAGGTCACCGTGCGGGGCCTGGGCTGGCGAGGTCAAGCGGCCGTGGTGCCCGCCGAGTTTGTGTGGCTGCTCCCCCCGCCAGGGCCCGCAGCAGGCTCAGGGGACGCTGCACATGGAAGCTTTTGGAAGCCCGGACAGACTCCCCCGGGGCAGACGTGCAGGCGGTGCTGAAGACCGGCTGCTTGACCGCACGCATCCCCCAGGGGGAGGAGGGGCCTGTGCGATGGCCGGCCCCTCGGCGGGCGGGCGGAGAGGTCTGCATGCAGCTCGTCCCGGATGTGTGGTGCCCCCCGGGCCTCTGGCCCTGTGCGGGCCGGGATGGGCAGACGCGGAGGGCAGGCAGAAGCTGCCCCCGGGCGGATGGGGTGACCGTCCCAGGCCCCCAGGCAGGAAGGAGGCGACAGTGACGTCCAGGAGATCAGAGGGGCCGCTGCTCTGCTCCCTCTGTGCCTGGGGGCCGTGGCCTGGGCGTGGTGGCCCGGCCGCCCAGGCCAGCTCTGCGACCTGAAGTGCCTTCTGATGGGTGTGCTTTCCCTGCCCCCCCAGTACCTGGGCCTCTGTCCAGCTTCACAAGTGCTGCTAAGCCCGGGGCCCCTCGGCGTGGCTGGGGCCTGGACCGCCATCCTCCGCCCGCCAGGCCCGAGGCTCCGCCTCTGCGTGGGCTTCTCTGGACTCCGAGGGAGCGCGGGGCGGGCCGGCGCTGCTGAGGGCGGCCAGGCTCCCGGCCTGGGCTCCGGGGCGTTGTCCAGGTTTCTTGGTGTTTGGGGCGAGGGCTCAGGACGCTGCAATCTGTGCGATAATAAACCTGCATCTGCTCACAGGCTCCGGCGGGCTGCGTGTCTGCTTGTGGGCCTGGGACGCGGGGCTGGTGGGGGGAGTGTGAGAGGCTGGGGGCCCGGGGCCACGCTGGTCTGGGCTCCATCTCTCAGAGTTCCCACAATACCTCGTGAGGGGCAGCTCAGCGACCTTTGCAGGGCAGACCCTGAATCTCTAAAGCCGAGTTCCAGAAGCTCCCCGAGCAGCAGATGGTGGAAGAAAGAGCCCACCCTTTGAGGTCAGGTCTCGCTCACTGACCAGTTTTACTTCTCTGAGCCTCAGCTTCCTCATCTGTACAACGGGGAAGGCGCCAGGCCAGAGTGGCTCGGTTGGTTGAACGTCATCCTGTGCACAGAAAGGTAACCTGTTTGATTCTAGGTCAGGGCATATACCCCTCCATCTATCTCTATCTCTCCCTCTCTCTCTCTCTCTCTCTCTCTCTCTCTCTCTCTCTCTCTCTCTCTCTCTCTCTGTACGTCCTCGGGTAAATGGAAAGGTAATAGAACCGGGTAGCTCCTGGGGTGGCGGTAAGGATTGCATCGAGCACGGGAGCTTATGGGAAGCCCAGCCGCAGAGAGCATTGAGAAATGAGATTACTGAGATCGGTGTCATCGCTGCTGTGTCGTCATTAGCCCCGGGCGTTTTGATGGATGACCTGGAAGGCCCGAAGGGGTGGGGATCATTCTGCCCCAATCAGACGGCCACGGGACGTCCCAGAGGGGGACCCGGAGGCCATTGTCAGAGGCTCCGCAGAGACACCTGCCCCAGGTGGCACAGCCAGGCAGCAGCAGGGGAGCAGCTGGCCCTTCCCGTTAAGTTCCTCCCAAAGACACAGCCCTGGTGACAGGGGTGTCGGAGAGCATCCCTCGCCCATCGAGGGGCTGGAGTCCAGGCAGGTCCAGCGTGGGTCGGTGACCTGGTTCTCACCCCGGTGCCACCAGTGGCTCGCTGTGTGTCAGTCATTCCATCTGACCGTGCCTGCGTTTCTTTTCAAGTCCGTGCCATCGCCGTGTTCACGGGTAGCACAGTTGTGAGCGTCGCAGGAGGTGTATTGTGGGTGATAAAGACGTTTTCAAAACCCCAGGATCACCGGGAAGAAGGATGGACTTGCAGGAGTGGGCTTGGGGGCCTGGAACGAGGAGAGAGTTCTAATCCCCAGGACTTTGAGAATATACTCAACAAGGAAAGGGTGGGCAGCCCGCCCAGCTGGCTGGTCTGTAGACTGGCTGTGTGTGTGTGTGTGTGTGTGTGTAATGGAGAGAGGGGTTAGGGGCAGCAGGTTGGCTATATTAAAATCACCTTGGATGGTTTAAAAAGAGGCTCATTCCTGAGCCCCTGGTGGAACCTGGGAGTCAGGTAAGGTTGGTCGGAGTCGGGCGCCCCCTGGTGGCCCAGAAGCAGCCTGGTTGGTGTCTTTTCCCTTCCAGGCCAGGGGCAGCTCCAGGCAGTTTGGTTTGGGATTGATTTGAGGCGTCTTGTGCTGGAGGGAAACCAAAGACCACCTTGTGGGCAATGCCCAGGCCCATGACCACTGACACTGGCGTGGGGTCTCAGCGGGACTCCACAGGAGAGAAAGGGAGGGAGCCCTGGAGCCGTGGGGTTCAGATTTGGGATTGTGGCAAGGAGGGCATTTTCATAACCTCTGATAGAGCCACAGAGGACCCGGCTGTGCTGGAAGAGGAGCCTTTGGCTGCATGTAACAGAAAACCAGCCAGATTACAACCTTAAACGGGAAAAATGATATAGAGCACCCTCTACCGTGCACTACAAACAGTACAAAATGCAAACAATGCCTGAACTGTACGGCACAAAACTTGCTCGTATGTCAACATTAAAATAGGCTCTTAATTTCTTTTTCTTTGTGCAAAGTTCTGACTGTGTCCGGAGGCTGACCTTCTCCCGCCCTCCCCCCCCCCTCTGCCCCTGCCTTGCTGGCCCCCCAGGAGAAGGGAAGGCCCCCATTGGATGGGTCAAACGCTGCTACATGGTGGCAGAGCAGCAGTGCAGTTTGGGGCAGCAGCCAGGAAATCACGTCGCTGGTTTAACATCTCAAAGCTTCTGGGTTTTCTTTTCCGAGATGATGAACACCATTGTTTGTTTGACCCGAAAGCCCAAGTTGGCTCTGAAGCCTGTTAGGCTCGCTGCACTGCGCTGCAGTTCTGAGTGATGAGCACGAGGTGGCGCCACTGCTCCAAATGTGAGGGAGCTCATGAATTGGCTCAAGAGAAGGGTGCCTACACACACACACACACACACACACACACACGCACACACACACGAGGCCCAATGCACGAAAATTTGTGCAAGGGTAAGCCTTCCTTCCCCTGGCTGCTGGCACCGGCTTCCCTCCACTCCAGCCCTGGGTTCACCTGGAAGGACATCCAGAATGACATCCGGTCTAATTAGCATATTGCCCTTTTAATATATATAAATCCACCACCATTACCCCTCTCTGATTCACCACAATAATAGCAGCTATTGTAAATTAGTTCCTTACTACACGCCAGGTAAGCACTTTACTTGCATTATTTTTTTTTAATTTTAATCTTTTAAAATATATTTTATTGATTTTTTTACAGAGAGGAAGAGAGAGGGATAGAGAGTTAGAAACATCGATGAGAGAGAATCATCGATCAGCTGCCTCTTGCACACCTCATCCTGGGGATGTGCCCGCAACCAAGGCACATGCCCCTGACCGGAATCGAACCTGGGACCTTTCAATCCTTAAGCCGACGCTCTATCCACTGAGCCAAACGGGTTTCGGCTTTACTTGCATTATTTCATATATTCCTTACAACAGCTCTGTGATTTGACTATATTTTACAGAAGCTAAGGTTCAAAACCAGGCCAGTCTGCTTGTCTGTCTGTCCTCAAAGCCCATGCTCTTATTTTTAAATCCTCACCTGAGGATATTTTTCTGTTGATTTTTAGAGAGAGTGGAAGGGAGGGAGACACAGAGAGAGAAACGTGGGTGTGAGAGAGGCACAGTGATTGGTTGCCTCCTGCACGCGTCCTGCAGGCTGGAGATTGAGCCTGCAACCCAGGTACGTGCTCTTGTCCAGAATCGAACCTGAGACCCTTCAATCTGCAGGCCGACCTCTATCCACTGAGCCATACTGGCCAGGGCAAAGCCCATATTCCTGACAATGTCTCCAACGGATGGCACAGACTAGATGCTGGGAGGCTGCATTTGGCTGGCAAACTGGTTTTAGCCAGCATGGTGCCGTGAAACACATTGCACTTGAGTGCTCTGGGGCTGGGCAGAACCTCTCCACTTAGCGATAGTCCTCCTCGCCTCATTGGTCTAGGAACGAGACGGAAGCTGGAGGGAGGGCCATCTGTCCCTCCTCAGATTGGAAGGGTCTGCCGTCGGCCTGAATAGTGAAAAGACCCACCCAAAGGTACCTCACGGTGACTTCAGGACTTCACGAGAAAACTAGAAGCTACCGAGACGGGAAAAGGGCAGGGCCGCATCAGGTCTTCCAGCAGCCATCCTGGAAGCTAGAGGGCAGCGAGGGCCTCCGCATCCGCAGAGAAGGTGACTTCCAGCCCAGACATCTTCGCCGGTCAAACCAGCGGCCCCGTGTG